CTTAGGTGTGGGTGAAGGTGACAAGGGTGAGAGGTTTGTTGGAGGGGTCAGGGTTAGATTTAGGATTAGGGTTAGGGTTAGGGTTAGGATTAGGGTCAGGGTTAGGATTAGGGTTAGGGTTTGATGTAGTATTCAGTGTAGTGAGGATAGGATTAGGATTAGGGTTAGGATTCGTTTTCAGTGTGATTTTGGGTTATGTTTAGGATTTGGGTTATGGTTAGGTGTGGGTGAAGGTGAGTATGTGGGTGTGGGGTTGGGGTGAGGGGCCAGGGTTAGGTCCTGGATTTGTGGTATGGGGAGGATAGGGCTACGGTTAGAGTTAGAGTTCAGGTATAATAGGGTAAGTGCGAGATTGAGGTTCAGGATTATGGTGAGGTGTGGGTGATGATGAGGGTGAGGGGGTGGGGGTACAGGTAGGGTTAGGATTCTGTTTAGGTGTAAGGTTAGGTTCAGGATGAAGTTGTGGTATAGGTTAGAGTTAGGTTTTGGGTTTAGGCTGTGGGTTAGCATGATAGTTAATGGTTTTGGTTCCATGTGAGTGAAGATGAGGGTGAGTATTAGGGGCTAAACTTATGGAAAGTTTTAGGTTAGGGTTAATGATGGGTGTAGTATGAGGTTATATGGCAAGAGTTTTGTTTAGGGTTTAGTGTCAGGGTTTGGGTTAGGTTTATGGTTTTATGAAAAGTGGTGTGAAGGTGAGTATGAGAGTGAGGGGTTAGAGTGAGGGGTTAGGGTTAGGTCTTGGGTTAGGTGTACATGCAGGATAGGGCTACGGTTAGACTTAGGGTCCAGGTTTAATTAGCATAAGTGCAAGATTGAGGTTTAGGGTTATGGTGAGGTGTGGGTGATGAGAGTGAGGGTGATTGGGTGTGGGTACAGGTAGGGTTAGGGTTAGGGTTAGGATGAGTTTTGGTGTTTTAGAGTTAGAATTTTGATTTAGGCCAAGAAATTCTGCATCACTCCTCTTAGCATACAAACCTGCTGCTGTTATGAGTCTCATCAGATCCTCTCTTGATCTCAGAGGGCTCTCTCCTGCTATTGCCCTCCTTATTCTGCCCTTCTTTATTGGAAAATATCTTAAGAGCATGGCCTTTACTTGCTATCCCCCTTGTCTTCTGTCCTCTCTAGAACTAACTTCAGTCAATGTCACCAATGACTTCCATGCTGCCAAAATCCAACGGTTCCATCTACAATCCCACTTCTGGGTATATACCCACAAGAAGTGAAAGCAGGGACTTGAAGAGAGATGTGTACACCTCATGTTCATGACAGCATTATTCACAGTGGTCAAAAGGTGGAAAAAACCCAAGTGTACATTGATGGATGAATGGATAAACAAAATGTCATATATCTAGACAATGGAATATTATTCAGCCTTACAAAGGAAGGAAATTTTAACACATTACAATATGGATGAATCTCGAAGACCTTACGTCAGGTGAATAGGCCAGACACAGAAGGATAAATATGGTATGATTCTACTTACATGAGGTACCCAGGGTGGTCAAGTACATAGAGACATTAAGTTGAATAGTGCTTTCTAGGGATTAGGGGAGGAAGAAGTGGGGACTTATTATTAATTTTTTTTTATTAAGGTATCATTGATATACACTCTTATGAAGGTTTCACAAGAAAAATAATGTTATTACACTGACCCATATTATCGAGTCCCCCCTCTCATACCCTATTACAGTCACTGTCCATCAGTGTAGTAAGATGCCACAGAGTCACTAGTCTTCTCTGTGCTACCCTGTCTTCCCCATGACCTCCCTCCCCTCCCCTTTCGTAACCGCTAGTCCCTTCTTGGAGTCTGTGCGTCTGCTGGTGTTTTGTTCCTTTGGTTTTGCTTTGTTGTTGCACTACACAAATGAGGGAAATTATTTGGTATTTGTCTTTCTCTGCCTGACTTATTTCACTGAGCATAACTAGCTCCATCCATGTTGTTGCAAATGGTAGGATTTGTTTCTTTCTTATGGATAAATAATATTCTATTGTGTATATGTACCACATCTTCTTTATCCATTCATCTACTGATGGACACTTAGGTTACTTCCATATCTTGGCTATTATAAGTAGTGTTGCAGTGAACATAGGGGTGCATCTGTCTTTTTGAATCTGAGAACTTGTTTTCTTTGGGTAAGTTCCTGGGAGTGGAATTCCTGGGTCAAATGGTATTTCTATTTTTAGTTTTTGAGGAACCTCCATATTGCTTTGTGGGGAATTATTTTTTAATGGTTCAATATGGGAAGATGAGAAGGTTTTGGAGACAGATGATGTTGATGGATGTACAACTATGTGAATGTATCTAATACCAGTGAACTATACATTTAAAAATGATTAAAGTGGTAAATTTTATGTTATGTATATTTTACTACCAAAAAAATAAAATCCAATGGTCCATTCTCATTCCTTGTCTCATGTGGCCTCTCAGCAGTGTTTGACATAGTTGATAATAAGGAACTTAAAAAAGAAAACTTTATTGGGATACAATCCACATACCATAAAATTCACCCACTTAAAGTACACAATTAAATGGTTTTTAGTATATGCTCAGATTTGTGCATTCATCACCACAATGAATTTTAGAGCATTTTCATTACTCTCCCAAAAAAACCTGTCTGTACCATTGTCATTACTTCCCCAACTTAATCTTGCCTGGACTCTTGGCCGTTAAGAACCCACTTTCTATTTATAGATTAGCCTACTCCACACAGTTCATTTAAGATGTATCATACAATACATTAAATGGAATCATACAATGGTCTTTTGTGACTGGCTTCTTCCATTTAGCATAATGTTGTCAAGGTTCTTACATGTTGTGGCATGTAAGTGTTGCTATGATGTATTTTATTTACTCATTTACCAGTTGGTGGACATTTGGGTGGTTCCTACTTTTTGGCTACTATGAGTAATGCTGCCATGACTATTCATGTACATGTTTCCATTTCTCATATTTCATTTCTTACCTTCTTAAAAGCGTTTTGGCTTACCTCTAGCAGACTGCTAAAAATCGACTCTGGGTATTTTTAAATCTATCACTTTATCTTCTAAAATGAGGACTTGGTCTGGGCTTTTGGAAGCTCTCTGAAGGATTGCCTTGTTCATTTCAAATTCAATGACAGAATTTTGGTTTCAAACCACATTAATTTTTTTTGTTTGCCTGATAATGGGGTGTAACTTGAGTTGGAAATCTCTGCTAAGGAAATGAGTGTTAAGAATTTAGTACTTGTGTTTCTGAGAGAAAACCAATGAGCAAACTGCTTGGACCATTTTTTTGCCTCTTAGTTCCTGGTATTACCAAAAAGTGAAGGGCCACATTTCCCTGTAGATGATCTGATAAAAAATCAAAGGCTTTAAAATCCTTACCAGAGCTTTTAAAGAAGTGAAGAGTTAGTTGAGGTGAGCGCAAAACGGACTGTATATTTTTTAATATTTTGAGGATTTTAAACAATCCTATATCAATACTGGAAGTTCCCTATGGAAAAAGCTCTACTGTGATCCTTTTTACAAAGGAAATACTTAATCCCTTATTTGACAGTTTTATAAGTGTATTTTGCATTGTCATTTTTATTTTTTATCATTTTGCTTCGGTGTTGTATGCCTAAAGTGTGGTATTTTAAATTGTCTTTTGTATTTTCTATTCTTTAATGATTGTAACACGAAGCTATAGGTTTAAGTACAATTCACGTTTCAACTCATCATTTAGTGAGTTAAATGATGGCCCCCAAGAGGATATGTTCCCAGCCTAATCCCTGGAATTTGTGAAGGTGACCTTATTTGAAAAAAAAAAGTCCTTGTAGAGTCATTAAGTTAAGGATCTCAAGATGACACCCTGGATCACTCAGATGGGCTGTAAGTCCAGTGACAAATAGCCCCCTAGGAGATCAAAGGGGAGGGGAAGGGGCAGGCTACGGGAGGGCGGAGACAGATTGGAATTTTGTAGCAGTCACCTGAGGAACACCTGAAGCCACCGGAAGCTGCAAGAGGCAAGGAAGGATTCTCCCCTAGAGCCTAGGAGGCAACAGGGCTCTGCCAACACCCGGACTTCAGTCTTCCGGCCTCCGGAACTGTAAGAGAAAAATGGCTATTGTTTTAAGCCACCAAATTTGGTCATCTGTCATGGGCAACCCTGGGAAGCTAATACAAAGAGGATGCTGGCTTAATGGTTTTATAAAACAAAACATTCTTGAGTAGCAGAGGGATTAATTTTTTTCCCTGCGAATTGCTGATGTCCCCCTCAGGGTGTGTGTCACTACTCAGTCCTGCCCACCATTGCCTGCTTGGCCCCCGCCTCCTCCCTGCCATCCCTCTGAACTTCATGGTTCTTCCCTCCTTCACTGTCAGTTCCCCCAGTTCCTGGACAATCTCTCCTTTCAGGTGGGCTGTGGGCTTTGATCCAGTCCATTAACATGGTACTTCCCTCTTCATATGGCCTGGACAGGGGTCCCAAATACAAAATGTATGTGCATTCTAAATGTACAAAACAAAACAAACCACAGCAAGAACAAGAACAAAGCTGGATGTCTAGACATCATAATGAAGTGAAGTGGTGGCCAAGTGTCATTCCGCCCAGAGGGCAGCTTCTACTTAGCCCCAGGAAGTGATCGCTGTGAAGCGCCAAGAAACTAGTGTTGCCAGATTGGATTTTTTAAAAGAAGCTGGAAATCTGAATTTTTCTATAAATGTCCTGATTTTTAAACAAGGCAACTTATTCATTATAAGAAATGAAACAAACCCTCAAACAACAAGCAAAAAATATATGTGTGTATGTGCACATATAAAAACATATCTGCAGCCCCCATTGGCCCATTTGTTCCATTTTGTGAGAGGATCTTTGTCGTATGATGTAAAGGTGGGCAGTGGGATCACTGCATATATTTCTTGCATCTTTTGAGGCTCTTTTAAAAATCTTCATCTCCTAAATGCTAGGAAATGGTAAGGTAATCAAGGCTGGCAATGCTTTGCTGAGTCTGCTTTACTAAATTTAACAATACAGAGATGGTTTAACATGTTAAATATTTTATTCACATTGTTTACAAACTATATCCACCTGAAAAACACATGAATCCAAAAATAGATTATTTTACAGTAATTCACATTTTTAAAACAAGTTCCTTTTGAAGTTAAACTCTAACCATGGAGGTCCTCAGCCTGTATTGTGGTTCAGTGCCTCGTCGCATGAAGCTTCCTGCCCTGGTGAAGTAGAAGTTGGAGGGGCAGTCCACCTAGGTGTAGGTCACTAATGGCTCACCTACCAGTGACTGGTGAGAAGACGTCAGTGCAGACTTTAACCCATGAGCATTTACTGGTGCAAATTCACTGTCACTATTTTTGTCAAGGAAATATGTGTTTTAGAGTTTGAATACACATCAGGTAAGAAGACAAAACAAGAGACTCATAATTTAATTGGCCATTACACAGTTGTCAGGATGTTTCCAGTTCTGTAAGGATTTCACATCTTGACCACAGACAGAATCAACAGACTGCGATTTTACCAGGTTGGCAGCTTGGGTCCCAGAAACAGCAGTGATTTGGAAATGAATTCAGGTGTCTGTTGACTGACTCTTTGCAAAACTGATGTCCTCCCCACCTCCACTCCCACCAGTAGAAAAGGGGGAATAAACTCAGGAAGGATTAACAGTGTGCTGAAATTTAAGTGTGTTACTCTAGAAGGTTGGTACGGGAGTGTTCCCGAGTGGGCAAAGATTCTCTGGTTAAGAAACAATTAACCTGTGCTAAGTCCAATCATTTCCTGGCTTGATGGCTTAGCTATTTTATTAATTAAGAAAGTTTTCTATGGAATTTGACTCTAACAATTTAAAATCTACATTATGTTTCTCTTATCCATGTCTCACCCCCTCCTTCTATATATCAATTACAAACTAACCATTTTTTTTTTTCCTCTGTGGGTTAAATGTGTGAAAACTTTTGAGCCTTTGGAATGGGAGCACTGAATGAGTCGCTAATGGCAGGATTAGATACTTTTTCTCAGAGCTAATGGCACTGGCTGTTGTGGTTCTACAGCTCTTGGTTGGGGAGTGGTGTTGGATGAAGGTACCATAAGAAGTCAGCCCGCCCCTCCTCCCTTCGGGTAAAAAAAAAAAAAAGACTTTCTTAAGGGTTGCTGTCATCACCCCCAAGTAGACAGCAACTCTGGATCCAAATGTAAGCTGAGATGTGGAGAAATTATCAGTTGCAGGCTTAAAAAAAAAAAAAACTTTCAAATGTCCATTGAAATCTGATTGTTTTAAGACAAAAAAAATCCATAAAATGAGCTTGATGATGGAGCAGATCATAGCTTGTCTTCCTGCCACCCGTGTGCATTTTTTCCAAATTTGTACACTAACCTTCGGTCAACCCGTTCCAAAATTCCTGTTTTATAGTAGTACCTGCGAGTGATAGCAGAAGAGAAAGGTGGGGAGTGTTTGCACCCTGGGACAACAACAGAACATAAACATTCTCTCCTCATTCTTCTCAGGTGACAAGGCAGGCCAGGCTCTAGTTACCTTGGTATTTTCGCACCCTGTTATCAACTTACACTTAAACCTTTCCCAGACATCTTGAAGACTGAACCTCACCACATTCAGTTCAAAACGTGTTTTGTGTGTGTGTGTGTGAGAGATGGCCTGGGTTCAGAGTGATCCCCGGGGACACTGCCAAGAATAAGAAAGATGGCGTGTCAATTTACAGACCATAATCCTGCCTGTAACTAAGAACCAAAGTGTTGTCTCATGACCTTTTGATTATCAAGTAAAAGGCTGCAAAACAGTTTAATTTTCTATGGCTGGCCATTTTATATAACTACCTGAAGGCTCATGGCATTCATGCTATTAACTTACCTCAGAGCTCTGCTCAACTTCTCATACGTCATTCTGTCATTTTTCTTCCTTTGTCCCCACATCTTTGCCAGGGCTTCTGATTTAACCACCCGAAAAATACCTTGTTCCCTATCTTCCCATTCCAGAATGCCACAATTTTCTTCAGGATATAGAAGCAGGTCTCGCACAAATTCCCATAGATGAGAGCTTTGGAGGCCTTTTGAAAAGGAAAAAAGTTATTAAAGAAGACATATATATTTTTTAATTTTAAGAGAAGAGTTTCATAACTTCTCATTAACACATGAGAATTGCTGTTTTATGGGGTTATTTCCCATAATTACAATCAAGCACTCTACCTGGAACCTTACCGAGTTGTGAAATGTCTGTCTTTTGTTGTTAAAACAATTACAACATAAAACAAATAAAACATGTGTACAGAAAACACCAAATTCATACTGACTAGCGACGCTGTGGCTCACGGACCTTCCTTGCTGTGTGGGACTATGTACTAATTCTTATGGAATTAATGAAATGACAGTCAAATGATCTTTTCATTTTTCTTTCTAACAGCATAGTTGTACTAAGATCTTAGAGCCGCAACTGTCTAGGTGGACCAATCCTACAACATTTTCATGAAAAGCTGGTATTTCTCTTGTTCTGTTATATTGTGGTTAAGACTGGCTCCCAAGTCCAATGCCTGGGTTTGGGGCCTGGATTCACCTCTTCTTAGCTCTGTATTGTATCTGCTCTAATTATCTGTAAAATGGGATAATAAAAATACCCACCTCACAGCAGAGGTTAAAGGATTATGATTTTATACACAGCAAGTGGCTGGGACCAAGCCAAGCAGGCGTGATTCTGCATTGTCTGCATCTTAGTGCTGGGGAAAGGTTCTCCAACTCACAGTGTTTTCCCTATTGACCCTGATCACCTCAGACAGAAAGACCCCCCAGGAGCCCAAGAGGAACAAACCCTTACTCAGAAATTCAACATGATTAGAAAATGTGTTTACTTTCTCACTTTAACTCTTACAATACCATTTGTAAGTGAAAAAAAGAAATGTGATTTTGATAACATTTACAAAAGTCATTGTCAATTTCTCTGTGACCTCCTTTTGGAAATAACTGACCCCTTTCAAAACTTTCGTTTCAAAGCTTATTAAAGTAGATTACTTCGTCTGGTTTTTTTAGAAATTAGAAATGCAAAATGGCATATCTACACTTACTCGTTCGACTATGACTGTGACAGTCTTGAGCTTTGATACCACTTGTTTTTAAGCAACTGGAGTCAGCATCTGAAACAGAATGACGTAGAGCAGTAGGCAGGCACCTGGAGGCCCCCTGCACACTCAGATCACATCGGAATAAACAAATCTTCATCGAACACCTCTGTGGTAGAAGGCACAGGGTGCCTTTGGGGGTAATTAGTAGGTGGGAGGTGCGAACATATTCAGCACATGGTGTTTGCCTTTAGGGAGCATTTGTATTCAACACCAGGCACCTGCTGTGTGCCAGGTTCTGGGCTCTGTGGTGGATATGGACTTGGTTGGCCCCAGGCTCATGCAGAATTAAAGACTAAAGGGCAAGGGAAACACAAGTGAAACCAACAAACCACCCATTATTTTGTTATGAAGGAAGCAAGACATCAGATAGAGAAAGAAGGTGGAGGAAAGCACCTGCTTTAGACAGGGTGGCCAGAGAGGGCCTGTTGAAGAGGAGAGTTTACACCGATGTGAGGGGGGAAGTGTGCTTCAGAGGAGAGGAGCGGCTCATGCACGGAGGGAGCATCAGGGAGGCAGGCGTGCGCTGTGCCCAGGTGGCGGCAGGCCATGAGGCTGGGGACGCAGGCTGCCGGCAGGTCACACAGGGCCTTCCTTCCATAGTAAGGACTTGAAATTATTCAAAGAGTAAAGTGAAGACTTTGGAGTTTGACAAGATCCACATTTTAAGAAGCTCCCTCCTAGTAGCATGTGGAGAACAGACTGGAAGGGACACAAGTAAGAGCAGAGAGCAGAGGTTAGGAAGAGTAGAAAGCAAGACATGAGCTCAACACTGAGTTAAGTTAGAACTCATGCTGTAAGTCACAATTTGAGACACCTGCATAAGCGTGCCTCCACGGTACAGGATCTCACCCACCTCCGCGCCCCTTGCTCAGTTGGCTCCAGCTACACTGGCCTCGGGGCTCTTTCTGAACCTCATAGGCCCCTTCCACCTCAAGGTCCTTGTGCTCACTCTCCTTGGCCTGGGCACCCTATCCTTGTCTCCACGGTTTATGCCTTCATCTCAGACTTTGCTCAATGTCACCTTCCCAGTGTGGCCTTCTCTGACTGCCTGAGTTGGACTCATAATCCCACTGCTGACATTGCATATCCACTTCCCTTACTTTATTTTTTGCCGTAATGTTTATCACCACTGAACATATTATATCATGTATTTATTTATTTAGTTTACTGTCTGTCCCCACTGCTTCCAGACGTATTGCCCCAGTACCTAGCATGGTGCCTGGCGCATAGTGGGTGTCCACAGGAGTTACTGAGTGGCCACTACACTATGTACCAGATTACACCAACTAGACCCACCGTGCAGCCTGGTAGGTAAACTCTAAGTAGGGAATGAAAGAACAAGTGTGCTGTCAGGGAAAGGATGGTGTCCTGGGTACCACACTGTGCCCAGGGCGCTCTGGCTCAGTGCCCCTGGGTCACGTGGCTCCCTGGCCTCATGTCCGGCAGTGGTTCACTGTTGTCTCCAGGGTGAAGGCTGCCATGTTAGGCCTTTCCAAACTGACCTCCGCCCAACCCTCCAGGCTTCTCTCTTGCTGTGCCCCAACTTCTTCCCTTCTCTTGGGTCAGGTAGTCCCGATGGGGCTTGGTTTTCCCTGCCTCAGGGCCTTTGCACAGCTCCCCACTCTCCACTTCCACCCACTCTTGCAAGACTCACTCACACAAGACCTCTTCGGGTGAGGTCCCGTGTGCTGCTCGGTGTTATGGCACTGGTCCCACCCAGCTGTAAAGACGGATCTTGTCTTCTCTTTTCTGGTACTGTTAGCTGATAATTAGGCAGAACTTATAAATGCCAAGTACTTGCTATGTGCTTTACATACAATATCTCATTAAATCCTGCAAGAACCCTGTGTGGCAATATTGCTGTTTCCACTTTATTGAGGAGGAACTTGAAGCCCAGAGAGTTTAAGGATTTGGTCCAGAATGGTAGGGCCAGCACTTGAACCCAGAGCAGTTCCATTCCAAAGCTAATGTTAAACTACTACTTTATTTGTCTTTCATAGTAGGTGTTGAATAGACACTTAGTGAATAATTATTAGCTATGTTTATTGATTGTTTGCTATTACTGCCAGGCCCTCAAGCCCACCCATCCTTGTGGTATACTATCCTATCCCATTAAGATCTTCATTTTGCATCTAAGAAAACTGAGGTGTAGAGAGGCTGTGTAGCTCTCTGCTGGTCCCTCACTCATTGGCTCATGAATATTGAGTCATGGCACGCCAGCTGTGTCAGGCACTGGAGGCTCAGCCTGGAACAAATCCAAGTCTCTCTTCTCAGAGCTCTTACTTCCAAGTGGGTAGAACATCCCATGAACAAGCAAACGTGGAATATTTTGGTTGGCCATAAATACCATGGAGAATAATAACATAGCAGGGTGGGAGCAGAGAAAGCATGGGGGCAGAGGGCGAGCAAACTTGCAGTTTCAGTCAGAGCCAAGAGAGAAGGCTCTCCGACAAGGAGATACCAGGGGCCGGAAGGGAGTGAGCCCTGGGGACATCTGGGGAGCACAGGTCAGGTTACCTGCCTGGCCCACAGTGGAGCTGAAATCTGCAGCCAGGCATTCTTATGTCAGAGCCCTCAGCTCGAGCAGCTGAAGTGCATGCTCGCTGGAACAAGCAGTGGGCTGAATGCATGCCTTCAACTTTCAGGGTCTCTTAAGCCTCCTCTCTACCCTTTCATCTGTTAAAGTCTGGAACTGCTTTGATGTGGAAAAAAGGGCCTGTACCCACAGGCAGGCATGAGCAAACCATGAATGAAGGCTCAGGGGAAGTCAGGTGGAAATGGAGGTTGCCACCAGGTGGAGTGAGGTTACAGGCAAGTGAGCAGGGCAGATGCCCGGTTGTGACCAAGAAAGAGTTCTGCCCTCTGCCCGATTAAATGCCATGCTGTACAGCGTTATCTGCACAGCAGACCCATTCACTGATTTAATCTTTTAAGAAGAGAGAAAACAAATGGAGTGGTAAAGATAAACAAAAGTGAATTATTAACCCCTGAACGCTCCCACTGGAATGCCAAAATATTAAGAAAAAGGAAAAGAGTCACCCTTTTAATTTTTATGATTTCGTCCATATGCTTCAGACGAAGGCTATTTGGCTGAGAGGATGAATACAGGATAGATCAGCAAGAGGCAGGGTTGTGATAGGGGACAGTGGGCGTTTCTCGCTGTGGGTCTTGCCAGAGATAATAATTCTATTTTATCTGTTCCTAGTTCACAGAGGCGGCTTTGAAGGTGCTCAGCGTCGACTAGATCAGAGGCCTTGCTTGGCTGGTGGTGGCAGGAGGGGTGGTGGGGGTGGCAGTGTGGGCAGAGAGGGGCTGCAGCCATCACTGTGATGGTCATGTTGAGGTGGGTTTCTGAAGTGAAACCTCTGTCGAGGTCAGTCACAGGCAATGCAGCAACCATGAAGCTACTCAAGTTCTCCATGGATGTTGGTGGGCTTCTGGGAGCAGCTCTGTCTGTGCTGCAATTATCTTCATCCTTAGTGTATTCCTGCAGGTGGGCTCTGGGTTGGGCATGGCCTGGGCTCTCTGCCGTCTGTGGGGTTGGGAGGAATTTGGTTGCCTTGAAACTGGAGACTGTTAAATATGGCCATATGATCTATTCCCAGTCATTGATTGAAGTCCGGAATCTGAGATGTGGGCTGGCAGGGCAGAGTTTCTGAAACAAGCTCCTTCCATCCCCATGACACTAGTGTTGCCATAGGGCCTGCAGCCCGTGCTGGGAGGGTGTGGGAAGCTCTGAGTCTCAGGAGCAGAAGATGCCCACCAGAGAACCCAGGACTGTCAGCTTTGTTCTCTGGCATTTCTGTGGCGAAGGTAGTAGGGGGCAGGTGGAGTGAAGGGCCAGAGTGGGGAGGGGCTGAGTGTGTCACCTGGGCCAGTCTGACAGTTTCAGTTTTAATTTCAGTTGCCTGCCCTGTACTAAGTTGAAAATCACCCTGTTCTCTGAATCATTGTGGAGCTGGGCCCAGACCCAGAGGAATCCTGAGCCTTGGGTCTCAGTGGAGTGGACAGCAGAATGGAGAGAAGGGGCTGGGAGCATGTGTGCCCATGTGCACATGTGGTGAATGCACAGTGTGCGAGCACAGACTTTGAGAATCCAAACTCTGCATTTACTCAAAAGTTATTGCTTCTCCAGTTTCTGCAGATGCAAACAGGTATAATGCTACTACATTACAGGGTTATGATAGGATTAAATGAGTCAATGTATGTAGACTACTCCGCATGGCAATGCACTGGGTGCACAGTGAGTGTTTCACAAATGCTAACCATAGCCACCAATCTTGATCCAAGTTGGCCAGGCTTTGGCCTCCACTGGCACAACTCATTTCTGGGTTGGGGGTGTCTGTGACTGTGAAACCTCACCTGGGCCATAGGCACCATGACCAAATGTCTTGGATTTTCTGGAAGAGCCTCACTGCATAATCTACCAACCTGTTGTCTTCATACCAACAGTAGTGCCCACTAAACTATGCATTAGGGCTTCTGTCTTGGGAAAGTGTGCTCATCAGGGCCGTGAGAGAGCCAGAGACTGGCCTCAGGGGCCCAGCACAAAGGCCGTGGTGTCCTGGCTGTGGCAGCAGAGGCTGCAATTGGGCAGAGACTGTGGTGCCGGTGTTTAGGCACACTCACCAGACTCCTTAACCCTGAGCTCAGTCTCAGAATTGTGCTGCTCGATGCAGGGAGGAGGGTTAGTTTCTACCAGTGTATGCTCCAGCAGAGCTGCCAGCTCGGAGCCCTTGTCTTACCACCTCTCCCTCCAGAAACTCCTCTCCACCTCCTCCCACACTGGTCTGGGCTGCTGTCATCCCTCTTCCAGACCATAGCCTCCTAGCTGGGCCCTTTCGGACCCAGACACAGCCATCTGGGCATCTTCTTAAAATGCACATGGGATCTTACCACTTTCATGCGTCAGTGGCTTCCCAGCCTGCTCAGAGTGAAATCTAGACTCGGAGAGCTGTGCAGCCCTGCCCTTGCCCTGCTCTTGGCCTCAGCTCCCACTCTGCTCTCTGCAGATGCTCTACTGACGTGCTGTCCAAGAGGACTTTCTGAGGAGTGGAAATCTGAGCAGTCCTGCCTGGTAGCCACTGGCAACCTGTGGCTGTTGAGTACTTGAAATGTGGCTAGTATGACCAAGGAGCTGAATATCAATTTTATTTAATTTTAATTAAATGTAATAGCCACATGTCGCTAGTGGCTACTGTACTGAACCACCTAGTAATAGAACTTCTAGCCTTCTCTTGGTTCTTTCTCAAAGGCTCCAAAATTGTTCCTGTCTCAGGACTTCTGCACTTGCTATTCATACCCTATAACCTTTTCTTTCCTCTTTTCCTGGCTAACTTCTGCTCATCCTTTAGGCCCTACTTAAATAGCTCTTCCTCCAGAAAATCTTCCCTGGTCCCTAATTGAAATCTTTACTCCATCTCGCACAGAAGACATCCTGCCCTTTTACTTTTTAATACCATCATAATTGGTAGTTACATATTATTATTGGGATTGTTTGTTTAATGTCTCTTTCCCTCCTTTGTTCCATGAGGGAAGAACCTAAACTGTGCTCATTCCTGCAGCCACAGTGCCTTGCTCTGGGCCTGGCACATAGTAGGTGTTCAACATGTGTTTGATGAATGAATAAAAGAATGAAAAGGGAATGAAAGAAATGCATGAGGGGAGAAAGAAGTTTGGAGCTTCAGGTTTAGACATACCTGGGTCACCTATTGCCTTCTAACCTTGTTGCCTTAATCTTTAGGCTTTAGTTCCTACCCCTATCAAAATACCGTAGTACTAGGATTTGTCTTTTAGGGTTACTGGAAAGATTACCGGAAACAATGTCTATAAAGATTCTAGCACAGGGCCTGGCTATTTGTAAGCACTCAACAAATGCTAGCTGCCATTGTTATTATTTATTATTATTATAGCACTGACTCAAACTGGGGCTAGTTATACATTCAGGTAACACCCTCTAGAGAATTTACAGCACACCCTCTCTCTTCCTAGCTCATCATCTTCCTTTGTTGTGAGGAAGGCAGTCTGGCAAAAAGATACCACTTATAGGTGGGAGCCCTGAGCCCTGAGAAAGGGCCAGTCAGGCTAAACTCAGGGCTGCTTAGAGAGTACAGCAGTTGCCTGCCCTGGGCTCAAGCCTTTGGACACAGACTCAGTAGTGGCCCCTGAGCACTATGGGGCTGCTTCCTCCCCAGGCTTCACCTGGGTGGAGAAAGCTGGGGTTTGCACCCCCCAGGGTTCTGAGGATGGATGAGAAGGGATTCCGCCAGAGACAGGGACTCTGTTCACAGGGATGAGGGGCTATGCCCTACCACCGGAGAGTGGGAGACCTCGAGGCACACAGGGCTGCTCCTGGGAGGACAGCCAGGGTCTGTGGGGCACAGCACACCTGCTTAAGCCTGCAGCATGTGGTTCACGGCTGTGGCTACTCTTGTGTTAAAACACTGAATAAAAAACCCTTCATTAACCAGATAACCCAAATCCTGATTTGATTGCTTGGGACTTTAAGGAGGGAAAAAAATAAATCATAAGAAACCACCCGTCTGCATCTGTCCCTCTGCTAGAAGCCCTGGAGTCACCACGTGCCCTGATTTCTGCATACAAATGAGCTCAAGTCCACAGCAGAAAAGGCCCGCCCAGGATCCCTGCCTCCTGGCCCCCAGGCCGGGGTCAGCCACAAACCCCAGTCAGCAGCAGCATCTTTAAGAAATGAGTGGTCCAAAGTTCCCTTTCCTAAACCTTCTCTGTCTGCGAAAGAGAGGGTTAATGTTCAGAATCCACAAAGCCATTTGAGGTCCCCCCTCCACTATACAATTATAAACTCGACCTGCTCAGTGAGCTCAGATTCCTCATAGACATCTTTAACTGCAAGAGCTCTGATGTTTAGTAGCTCTTGTTGCCAGTGGATAGCAGGTTCACTCTGCTGGCCCACACCGGGCTCTTCATGCGCACTGTTTCTTGAACTCACTACAGCCCAGCAAGGGTCACACCATTTTACAGATTGGGAAACTGAGTCTGGGGAGGACAAGGAATCACCCACACCCATGCTCTGTCCACCACATTTCTCCCCACTCTTCTCCTAGTCTGTGGTGGTTTCCCTTCATCAGCCTTCCACTGTGGCCCAGAAGACTGGTCAAGCCCACATGCCCAATGACCGCACCAGCACAGCCTCGGGCAGCTTGGACTTAGACTCCAGGGCCACCTTCCCTAGATTTTGGACTTGGTTACTTACAGTCTTTGACGGCAGCCTTGGCCTCTTCAGCGTCATTAAAGAAGGAGTAACCTGGGAAAGAGAAAGAAACCTGCCAACTATCCCATACAGTCCCGGCCCCCCTGCCGAGCCAGGAGAGGAGGCACGAGGCAGAAGTGGGTGACTGTCCCCTCTGTGGCACAGTTTTATTTCAGAAGGAACCTTGGTGACCATCTGGCCCTGATGGGGCCGCTCTTAAGCTGTACCTGAAAGGCAACAATCTCCTGGTTTTTAAAGGACACCTGGACAGAGCCCTGGGGCCAGGCATTCCAGCACCCTGGGGATTTTCCCTGGGCGCTGGGGAGATTGAGTCCTGGCCTGAGGCCAGGAGGCCTGGGCTCTGAGCAGGGTCATGTCCCTGACCCTTGTGTGACCTTGCCCGGCCACTCAGTGTCCAGGCTCATGTTCCTCATTGGTTAACACATGACAAAACTACCAGAGTCCACTGTGGCTCTGAGAGTCTGTGATCTCTGAAGTGGCTCTAATCCCCTGGGGATCTGAACCCCTGTTGTGTGCTGGCCAAGGGGAAAAATGGACATAGGAGGCTGCAAGAAGGGCAAAACTGCGTATGAGGCTTTAGTGAGGAATCAGGAGGCTGTGTCAGGGCCTTGGTGTGCTCCTCTGAAGACTGGGCTGGGTGGGGGTGAGGTAGGAGTTTCATATCATGTTTTCACGCAGCAGCACTCACCAAAGGACACCTGTTTTCTAGCTTGGTGTCCAATGTGAGGGTTTATTTCCAGTTACTCAGGAGCCTGGAACAGGGCACGTTTGTGCCTGCTTATGCCTAGTGCCATTTTTTTCCTGTTTCTGTCAGCCACCGCCCTTCAGTTCACTCTGCCCAAAGGGCTGCCTGAGAACAGTATGGGGAACTGAGGAGAGACCTGTTCCTGTCCTAGCTGTGGAAGCCACCTGCCACCCTCCACCCTTCCTGCCGACCTTGCCTTCCCATGATGGTGTCCCCAGGTTTCTGGACCCTTAAATCCTGCTTAAATACCTGCTGAGCCACACTGCATGTTGGGCCCTCAAGCCAGCCCCGTTAACTCCTCTCCCTCCTACAATACTTGCTCTGTGTCCTGTTTGGCCACAGCCCTCATCTACGGAGCAATATAAGGCCTAAACTAGCAATAACGAGTTCACCATATAATTTATTATCCAAATGCAGACACTTTTAAGAATGAAAAACAGCACTAATAATAATTATTCCAGGATAACAGGTGAAAACAATGGGTCCTGGGCAAATTGGGACAGTATAAACCTTGGTCACAATTCATGTACTTCAATATAATACAAAATGTACATTTCCCCTTGAGGAACATTTAAGGAGGAATTTCAGAATGGAGTGGGTTTGTGGAGTACTTTGACTGCCCTGGCTTAGAGAGAGCCTGAAATTCCACCACTGCGGATGGCTTTGTGAATCTATAGACTCCTTAGAATAAGAAGAAGCGTTTTTATGGTCAATTTATGGGGTGTTTACAGAACAGTTGGTTTTTTGCTTATTAACTCTGCAAATACCCTGAGGTGCTGGGACCAGGGAGAAGGACTTTTTGATGTAACAAGTGCCAAGGAAGGGAGGTGCCTGTGCTGGGAGACCCCGGCCCAGGGGCTGCTGGGGCCTGGAGACAAACTGGGTTGACTTGATGTTTGGCTAAGGCCGGCAACCCCAAGCTGCTTCCTCTTCCAGGATGGATCCCTCCTTCTCCATGGCCCTGGGATATCCATACAAGGCTGTTGCTTTGGGAGGGTTCTGAATGGAGCCCCAAGCTCCCTGGGCTGCTGAGATTTGCCCAGACTTGCCCCCTTTCAGGGAGAGCTCATGCAATGCTCAGGCCACTGTTTCTGGCAGGACACTCTTACTGGCTATAATTAAGCAGGGGTTGGACAACAATGGTCAGCAGTCTGTCCCTCCCTTTTCCCCATCAGGCTGCAGCTCCCAGGGCACAAGCCAAGCAGTGCTTCAGGGCCACCTTCCCTAGATTTTCTGCCCTCAGGTACTCATGATGGGAGAGATTAAGGGCAGGGCAAAGAATCCTAGAGCTGAAAGGTCCTTTGTGGTTTTCTGCCCAAACAGGAATCCCTGTTACAGTATCCCCATCAGTCAGGTTGCTATTAGACTGCTTGATTATCTCTAGTGACAGAAAGCTTCCTCCCTTCGGTACCTTCTGAAGCAGCGTTTTGAGAAGAAGGCACTGATTTTTAGAAAGCTCACTTTAAAATTTGAGCTGAGAGGTATTTCCCTTATTTTTTAAAAAACTTCTGCCTCTTGGTTATATTCATAATGACAAAAACAGCTGCTATTTACTGCATTTGCAGTCTTATATGCTGTGACAGGTAATATTTCACTGATCCTGTGGAGCAGCTTGTATAAGTGTGTATCATTATCCCATTGTCCAGACTAAGCAATGGAGATGCATGGAGGCTAAGCCCCTTGCCAGGGGTCCTGTGGCTCCACAGTGTTGGAGCCAGGGTTGGAAGACACATCTTTCTATCTCAAAGTCCTTGCTTTGAACTGACTTTCCATGAATCAATCCTGTTTGCTGTGTGACCTTGCAGACTTAATCACTTGGGACCTTAGCTCCTTTATCTGTAACATGGGGTTACAGAATTATATGTTCTCAAAAAAGCCTTCCCGGTTTAAAAAACCCTGATCATCAATAGTCTATTCTTGCAGGGCACGTGGAGTATTAGATAATGCTGCTGGCACCACCTTCTGGCCATTTGATCCGAGGGCAAGTGATGAAATGAAATGCCGGTTAGCTGGACCTCTCTGGAAAAGGGAAGGGAGAGCGTCTACTTACTTCTTCCCCTGGTCAATGAAAGGTCAAGCAGACACTTGCTTGTTTTGTCCACCCTTTATGGTTGTAAATCTTTATGAACATAATACATTATTTTGTTGTATCAGCCTGGTTCCTAGGTTGTTTTTTAATGTGTTTTTAGTTTTTCTCTTCTTTTCAAAACTAGACTCAACTTCTTGCTTGTAACTTGGTCCTCATCCCCACCATCTCCAGTTCTAGCAAACTTGAGCTTCTGGGTATTGAGAGGTTTTGGGTAATGGGGGGACTGTGGTCACAGAGAGCACCAGGAGGAATTTCGCTCTGTGAATCACATAGTGGGAAAGGACCTCACGGGGTCATTTGGTTCAGTCTCAGGCCATTCCCCTGGAGGCCCGGCCCTCCGGACACTGACCTTGTGAGCGGATGGTCTGGAGGATGAAGTACAGGTACTCCCCGCAGATGCCGGCGGCCTCCAGGAACTCCTCCCGCGTCATGCTGCACAGCTGCAGGCCGCTGATGTTGAAGTGGCAGAAGGAGATGCAGTTGGCATCCAGCTTGTACTGCTCACAGCAGAACTGAAGCCAGTCCCAGACATGGCGCTTAGTCCAGTACTCGGGGTGGACAGATGTCCAGTAGGAGTCGCAGGCTACACCAGGGGAGAGAGAAGTAAGGGACCACAGCCCCTGGGAAGGAGAATGGCCCTTTAAAAGGCCCCCGGAAGGAAGCCCTAGCTGTTAACATCCTCATCCCTTGTCCAGTGAGTTTAAAGGGCCTCCAGCCCGGGGGCTGTCAAATGCTGGGGCCCAGGTCACCTTCTATTCCAAAGCAAAAACCAGTGGGGACTGTATCCTATGGTTGGGCTTTGGGGCAGGAGAGGGAATGACAGGGGCAAGAAACCTAGTCAAGGCTTGGGCGTGCTGAGGCCTAGTTCTGGTGCTTAGAAGAAGAGCAAGTGGAGAAGGAAGGAATAAGCCCGTCAGTGACTCAGTTTTAGATGACATGGTATTAAGAGCACAGGGCTTGGAGCCTGACAAGCCTGGGTTCCAACCCTAGTTTAGCCACTACATACTTGGGCAAAGTATACTGACACATAAGTCTCAGTTTTCTTATCTATAAAATGGGTATGACATGTGTAACTCACAGAGCTGTTACACAGTTTGGGTATAATATAGGTTATATATAGGCTGTGTGGTACATAGAAAATTACCAATCAATTCAACAGTTATTAAATGACCACTGTGTGCCAGGCACCATCTGAAGCTGATTTGATTCCCCTTGCCCTATGGACAGCTGTCAGCACCAGCTAGTGGAGTGTGCACTGCTTCCGGCCATTTTGTGCAAGGGGCCCAGGCCAGTAAGACATTGGCCAGAGTCCCATAGACAGACCTCGGATCACCAAAGCTGCTCCTCTGGTGAAAGGGGCAAGTGAGGGAGTTGGTTATATTGTTGTTTTTGTGGTTTTGGTGGTGTTTTGAGGAATTTTCATCCCATCCTGAGAGCCCCTTCAGAGGAGTCACATATATACCCAGACGGAGGTGGACCCCATGCCTGGCCCTAGGCAGAGACTGGGTGCTCAACAGCTCTGTCCCTATGTCAGGAGGAACAGAAAGGGTGGCAGACACAGGGCACAGAAGTGGTGAGGTACCAGGTAGTTGGGTCCTTAGTCAGGCTCTTTGACATAAATAATTCTGGCAAGTGCCATGGTATCCATTCATTTGCACATTCATCCATCCATTCATTCAATAAATGAGCTTCAATTTCCTCATTGGTAAAGTGGGAAGAATGATAATATCATAGAGTTGTTCTGTGGTTTAAATGAGATAGTATATGTTACTTAGAGCCTGGGAGATTTTAATGCTATTATTAAGACTAACAACACCTACTATATATGAAGCAACAAATTGTATGCTAAGGATTCATGGTGAATAAGAAGTTTGGTCCTGGTTACCCAGAGGTCACAGCTGATGAACCTGAGAGTCACAGAGGATTTGCCAAAGATCCCACAGCCAATGTGTGTCAGAGCTGGGATTTGAACCCCAGTTAACTTGAAAGCCATTGCTCTTCTCATTCCATCACACTGGTCCTCAGAGAGTCAGCAGAGAAGAGACAAAGCATGGAGAGGGAGGCGGAGGCGGACAGAGAGCTAGAAATAAGGAGAAGACCTGCAGTGGAAGGCAGGGAGTGGTGCATTGGCACAGGTGACTGGCTCAGTTGTGTGCATGACAGAAAGGGTCGCTCAGGAGTCAGGCTCCCCCATGAGTATCAGCAAAGCTCTTCTGGTTTCCCTTTCAAATGCGGCATTTGATGCCACTGTCCCCAGGGGAGCTGAGGAAGGAGGCAGGTGGGCAGCCCTGCATGTCAGCTTGTCAAGCTCCTCAAATGCTCCTGTATTCGTATGACAGTCTATTTCACAAAGGAGGAAACGGGGGTTCCCTCTAAAACTCTGAGTCCTTCCAGAAATCTCTTTTCCCACTGTGGAGTAGGTGGAGGTGTGATCAAACCTAAACAATTGGTCTATTTTAATTTAAAAATAATTTTAATCAGAATTTTATGTGCGCATGGATTAAAGAGTCAACATGCTGCCAGGACGGTTGAGGCTGATGCCATCACCTCTACTGGTGGGCAAGGGGAGGGCGGCAGGCCCGTGAGGCTGACATTCTCTTCCTGCTCACTGGCCACTGGCTGGAGCCAGCCTGCTGCCCTGACGGGCATCTTGGGACCAGCAGGATCTCCTGGGAAAATAGGGCCATTCCCAGTCTGGTCTGTGCTTTCATGTACTGATTTCTGGCTTGAGTAAACCGTGGAGGCCTTTGATTTTCCTGGTATTCTGATGAGAGATGTTTATGAGCCTTGAAATTCTTCCGCCCTTGGTCCTGAGCTGAGCCCCAGTGGAGATGGCTATCGGCATGCTGCAGTCAGAGGACACAGTTTATTTCTTTTCATGGAAAGGGTTTGCCAAGTCTCCATTCCCCTCTCCTCTCCATTTCCACCCCCTTGTTATTTTCTTTGGCATGTGAAGAGGACCATGTTGTTTCTGGGAGCCAAGAGGGCCTACAGGATTCGGGGAAGGGCGGGTGGGGGTGGGCACTGCCACCAGGACATGTTGCTGGCGCAGGCTCCCTGGCCCGCAGCTCTCCCGTGTGAAGCTCACCCACAGAGCGGGCTTTGTGTGTGGCTCTGGCTCCTGGAGGGAAGCCAGAGTCAGAGCCAAGCATGGTGGGCTCTCCTCACCAGGAAAGTCCTTCCCATAGCCTCCAGAGCTGAGAGGAAAGTGGCTGTTCTCAGCGATGTGGAGGGCCACGAGAGCCAGCATCCTGGGGTGCTTCTGGGTTGTAGTGTATTTCCACAGTCTTATCCTCATGGCTATGTACTGGCTGCAGGGCTGAGGCTGATGGGGTGAGGAAGGCCTGCTTCACCCGGCCCCTTCCCACCCCCTCCCCATTACTCCCTCAGGAGTGCCTCCTGGTCTTCCCTTTGCCAGGATGAGGCCCCCATCTTCCTTCTCCTAACTAACTCCTGCTCATCCTTAAGACCACGGATCAGCCTTCTCAGGGAGTCTTCTCCCTGTACAGCCCCTCAGGTGTCCTTCTCAGAAGGATCCACACCCACCTCCCTCCTTCTGCAGACCTTGAGCTCCACGAGGTAGGGCCAGCTCTGCTTTGCTTGCCCTGAGTCAGGCATGCTTGGGGCTGGCCGAGCCCACAGTGGGTGCTCAATGAGTGTCACTGACTGGCTGAATGACCAGTAATTATCATCTCCACTTTGCAGGTGAGGTAACAGGTTCTGGGAGGTTACATGACTCTACTAAGGCCACATGGCTATCCATTAGGGTGTTAGGCCCCATATCAACTCTGCTGTCTCTCAATGTGGGAATTTTGCATCATATCATGCCTCATTCATCTTGGTTGAGGGACCCAATTGGACACATATCCTGAAGACTCACTAAAAAGATATAGATGAAGGCATATATATAATATATATATATTATATTTAATATATAGATATTTAAACCTAGATTGTATTTACAATCTCGGTTTAAAACATCAGAAAAAGGATGGAGACTGATGATGATAATGTTTACAACCCCAGTGAATGATGTGAAGAAGACCCTTTTGCTACTTGGAAGACATGAACTCAGAACCAATAAAAGAAAGGCTGGTATACCTCCAGAATATGTTATCTTTAATAGGTTGTATTATCTGGAAATGTAAAGTGTTTTCCTCAATGCACCTACCATTCATAAATTAATCTAAACTTTTTGGAGAAGCTGAGCTATGGGGCTCTTCTGCCTGTGTTGACTGGCTGGGGATGGATGATATCCTGTGCCTGGTAGACTTAATCCAAATGTCTACAGGCCACTAGCAAGCAGCAGACTTGGCCAACTCCTTTGAAGTCAGAAATAGGTCAGAACATCTGATGTCTTATCTTATGCAAGTGCTCTTAAAAAAATGTTTCTAGGCAAGTCCTCTTGCTGTCTCTTCCAACTGGATTGCTCCCCCTAAGGCCTTCCTAAATAGAAATTCTGGAGCCAACACTTTATTTTCTTGGAGCTTCATTTAAAATAAGAATTGTGGGGGAGTTTTTACTCTTTTCATATTACAAAGAAGTAGATATGCAGCAGAATGCAAAATCTGCAGACTGTGAAGGTAGTTTGAGCTTACAGCTTTGAGGTATGTCCCCAGACCCTCTGAAGGACAGCATGTTCTTCCCCTCTTGCTGACTGGGGAGCATAGAAGAGAAAGTGTGTGAAGCTAAGCGAACATGCCAGCTACAGGGATTCAGTCAGGCTCTGTTCCCATCCTCCACTGCAGAGTTCTGTCAAATGACTGGGAGTGGCGGGGCCTTCTGCAGGGAGCTGCAGGATTGTGTGGTGTCTCTGAGCTTGGGCTATGGAGTCTGGGCTAGTAGACCTTCCTGGGGTGTTCCCAATTTGAAGAGTCTAGCTCTTCAGCCTACCAAAGTTTCCTAACCTCCCTGGACCTCAGTTTCCTTCATCTGTAAAACAGGAATAATAATAGTGCTTACATCTTAGGAAGTTAGCTGTGAAAAGGAGAAGAAATGATGCCGGTAAGGAATTTAGCTCAAGCTCAGTTATCTGGATGACATCAAGCTTTTGATACAAGTTACCTGTAATTATTATTTTGGGACTACCTTCATTCTCAGGGAAATAAGGCCTTCCCCACCAGGGCCTCAGTCTAATGGAGGGACAAGCAGAACAAAGCAAGTCCAGGGTTAGGTGAAGGGGAGGCAGATAGTCGGGGTCAGAGGAGGTCCAAGTCAGAGAGCCTGGGCCATAATTAGCATGATTTCTTAGCACAGGGAGTTGGGAAAATTTTTTTGCCTGGGGCAGTGCTGAAGAGAGCTGGTGAGTGGACTGGGTAGCATGAGGCACCATCAATTGTGGCCTTGTCACTGAAAGGAAGGACTTTACGAGGGGAAACCTCAAATGAAAAATTGCTTCCAGGTTTCCTTCCAGAACTGGTCTAGTCCCATCCAATAGCCCTTCTTGGCTTTTCTTCCAAGCTTGTGGAATGATTTAGATCAGGGGGAGGGAAAAAAAAAAAAAGCCCAGAGCAGTGTAAGAAACTAGATGGAGAAAAGATGAGAAGGACTGGCTCAGTATCAGCAAAGAACCATGGTCTGGACTGTGTGGATTTAGAAAGGGGCAGAAAGCAGCAAGCCCTGAGTGGTTCTGGGGCCATAGCTCCCTCCAAGGCTCAGATGTATGCAGGATAGACTAATGGTGGCCAATGGTGAGCTCTCTCCCTGGGAGTGCTCCTGGGATATGACTATAGCCATGGGGCTCACCTCAGACTTTCTGATGATTTTGTGTTCGTTAGCTGGTTTTGATTTAGAAATTCGTAGACTCTTTCTTTTGCATGGGCTCTCAAACCTCTATACCCAGCAGAAGAGTCTTGCTTAGAAAGGCCCACATGGTACCCAAATGCCTTTTCCCTTGATCTTCTAGATGTTAACACCCAAGATCAGTGGGTTTTGCACCTTTGAAAATAAGTTCTTTCTTTAAATAAAATGTCCCATTGTGTAAAGTTAACCTATTTATTGAGCCCTTAGTATGTGCTGGTTCACATGCTATACTCTTGTGTTTTCCCATGTTATCCTCAGCACACTGCCATGAGGTCCCAGATCATGCCATCCATTTTACAAAGTAAATGAATAAAGTAAAGCACACAAGAGTGAGATCTCTTTTCAAGGTCACACAATGAACAAGTCATAGAGTAGTATTCCAATTCCTTCAGCCAAGTCTTACTAACCACTATGCTGTACTGTCTTCAAAGTGTGTGAACCTTGCTTGAGAGTGGGGATGGAGATAGGGAGCTGAGGCCTGGCCTTCTGCCATCTTAGGTTCCTGAGGGACTTCTCAGGAGTACCTAGAACTACTCCAATCTAGAAACCTCTATAGCAGACAAAGTGTAAACAAGATTCCAGAGTGAAGGGGGCACCACACATTGGTGTGGCCATTTGCAGGGGGCAGTGTGTGGGCATGTGGAGGTTCAGGATGGAGTCCCAGAAAGTGGGGATGAGGCCAGGGTGCTCCATGACTTATCAGGTGCTTGGCTACTGGATCTTGATTGGAGATATAATCTTTTAAAAAATATCACATGCTTGTGAAATATATGAAGCTCCCCCCTCTACACTTTGGTAAAAATTTTCAGTGTTCATAATTCTTTATTTTAAAAAAGATGAAGGGATGGCCAGGGCAAGTTACTGAAACTGTATACAGTATTTTGTAGCTGGTGGCTGTCCACTCCTCAGCCTGTAGTGAGCCATGCAGGAATCCCATCTCAGAGAGCAGGTCAGAGCTTTTAGAGTCAGCATGCAGAGGGCACGGGTTCAGCTGTCCTCTGCTAACGACCTTTGAAAAGGCTGTACATGCAGCTGGTTTTCCTAACTAGGCTGAGTATCCCTCCCTGCCCCCTTGTTGACATCATCTGTCTGTGTGCACAGCATTTCTCTGTCCCTTTCTTTCCCTTTGGCCTCAAGTACCTAAGCTGTCCCAAATTCCAAACTGGAAAGGTCGAGATGAAGACCTTTGTGGCTTTTGTTCAATATGAACAATGAAGAGAGGAGACAGAAAACTGTTTTCCACTACCTGGGAGTTGTGAGGTGTTCCTGGCTTCGGTGAGCACCTCCCAAGTGCCTGGCATTTTGCTGGACATTCTACATGTAAATTGCAGGCGGTCCTCCAAACTCTAGGAGGCAGACACTATATCAGCTGAGGAAAGGGTATCTCAGGGATGTTAGAAAACACCAGCCTATGGCTATAGGACTGGTAAGCAGCAGTGCCAGCCCTTGAACCCAGACTTGACCAGGAAGCTTCCATTGGGACAACCCTGAATTTGAGATGGAATTTCCTGTGCAGCTGGAAAGATGCCTCACAGCTCACTGGCCACTGAGCACAGAAAGTTTACAGAGCAGCATCCAGAGGAGAACCTACCTGTCCCCTGTGCATCCCTCTCAGAGGGGGCTTTGCAGGCTCTCAGATGTGTCATCATCTCCCAGGGAGAAAAAGACAGAAGCCACCATTGCCATTCTTCCCACTCGTGGGACCTGTGAGGCTCACCCTGCTCACCCAAAACTACCCTTCAACTCTCAGCTTTAACCTTTAAGAGATCAGATGCATTCAGCCCCTTCTCAGATCCAGAGGCAAGATGGCAAGTCAAAAAGCCTGCCTCCACCCTCAGGGAATGGTAGGAAGCTGGGCCACTCCCAGAAGATATTTCATTTTCATTGGCTTCACACCTTGGGGACGACTTTATATTCTCTCCGTGGGTGGAGAAGAAGGCTGCCTCTGTGACTTTAATGCAGGGATCAGAGAAGCTCCTGGAAGGGACCATAGAAATGACCTGGTCCAGCTGCTCATTACACTGACTGAAATGCAGAGGCTCAGGCAGGAGAAAGCTGTGTCTGTGTATCTAAGACTGTTGGATTAAGCCACACTGGCAATCCTTTAGGTAATCACTTCTGTTAATTCTTTTTTTTTAACTTAATATAAACTTTACCATTTAACCCTTTTTAAGTGAACAGTTTAGTGGCATTAAAGAAACATTCACACTGTAGTGCAACCATCACTACTGTCCACCTCCAGAACTTTTTCCCCAAACTGAAACTAGTCCTTCATTTGTAAACATTTCCGTGTGCTTGCTGTGGGCCTGGCTGTGTCCCAAGCACTCCACGCACATTAACATGCTTCACCCACATAACAACAGTACAAGGTAGGCATTATTACGATCTCATTTTACAGATGAGAACTCAGAGGCACAAGAGATTAAACTGGAGCAGCTATTAAGTATCAAAGCCTGTCTGCACATTTAGGATGTCTGGCTCCAAAGTCCAAGCTCAACAACTATAGAAGCTGCTGCTCCACTACCTGGGATCCTGCCTGGGGAAGGCAGTTGAGGCCACCCCTTCCCACTACCACTTCACTGCCACCCCAGAATAGGCAGGAACAGGGGGTTCCCAGGAAAGCAGGTCTAGATTATGCATGGCAGGAGAGAAGGGCCAGGAGCTGGGCCCCACCATCGTGGGACATACAGGGAGGGGATGGGGTAAAAGCCTCCATTTTCTTCCTTAAAATTGAAATTTAGTCTTGAGGAGGAGATTGAGTGCATTTCTCATTGTCTTTCTGGGAAATGAGGTGCTTCTTAGGCCTAAAGAAGCAGTGTAATATGCATCTGGACGACAGGTCCAGATGCAATTACCTGGACCCTTCAGATGAGAGTGAGAGATGTCCTGCGTGCACCTGGATGCATGTGCGGGGCTGGGAATAGGTGTAGGACTGAGGTAGGGAGGTAAGCAAGTCAAGTCTGTCTGCACAGCCCTGGCCTCTGGCCTCTTTGTGGTGGTGGATACTTCACCCCATCCTTGGAGGCTTGGCCTGTCCTGCTTCCTGAGCCTGACTGAACTGCCAGGCTGGGGTGCACAGGGTTAAGGCTCTGTGTACTTGATTAGCACTTGCTTCACCAGCCATGGGTGTGTGCCTGCCATGCTAACAATCTGCTAGGTTTGCTGTGATGTGCAGTCATCCTGCACCTGGGGACAGAGGCCCTCCAAGGGTTTCTGGGGCAAAGCTCAGCTGGCCTCTGTTTGCATGGAATTCGTACAAGGCCCCATGCTTGCTTGTTAGGTGAAAAACTTGGGTGGAAAGAGGAGGAGGGTGGGAAGCGTGGCCTGGGGGACAGTGAGGGAATTTGTTTACTCAGCACTTGCTTTGTGCCAGGCTGTCTATTGTACAATTTGACCCCCTTACTCCCTACTGTGATTCTCATCATCCCTGTTTTAGGGATAAAAAGAAATGGAGGCTCAGAGAATAAGGATGATATTCATACCAATAACCACAATGTTACATCATTTATAATAAGACAGACTAGGCAGGAGAGTTAGGAGTATAGGTGCTCAAGTCAACTTGCATGAAACTTAACTAACCATGAGACCTCGAGCAAGTCACTTACTCTTTCTGTGCTTCAGTCTCTCCATCTATAAAATGGGGATAATAATTATTCATTTCTTACAGGGCTTCTCAAAGGATGGGTACTTGACACAGGGCCTGGGGCTTAGCTAGTATTGTGCAAATGTTAACTAAAACCATAAAGATCAAGCAATCATAGTATACTAGGTTCTGGGGTAAGGGCTTCTTTCTACTACATTGTTTAAATATAATAACTCTATGAGATTGGTATTATTATCTCTGTTTTATCTGTTAGCAAAATGAGGCTCAGAGAGGTTAGTGTAGTTCCCCCAGGGCACAGAGCCTGGAAGAGGTTGTAGGGAGGACCACAGTGTTTCCCCTCTGCAGGAGCTGCCTATCCTGCCACCTGGGCCTCTCTCCGCCCTCTGCCCTGAACACTAGTGAGAGATGGCATTTGTAGGCCCCCAGCACAGCCTTGTCACATGCCTGAGGCCAGCACCACCACTTGCCTGAGCCCATCCCAGCCCAGGTGGGCTTCGCCAGATGCACATACCTGTCTGATGCTCAAAGGCAGGATAATACTCTTCATTGCTGAACAGATCAGTCCAAGACATCAGGGGGTCACAGAAGGATGTGTTGGGCAGGAAGGTGCTGTGTGTCACTGAGTCCAACATCACCCTGCAACGGCAGGAGAGGCTGTGAGGAGGCAGACAGTGCTCCTGGAAGCCACACTGCAGGAGTCCCCAGTAGGGCAACACTTGGTGTTTAATAATGATAGCAACACTTACAAGCATTCAGCTACTTAGGAGACAGGCACCCCTCTAAATGTTTTCCTTGATGTATCATTTAATCTTTGCACATCCTGTGAGGTTTGTACATCGATTCCCATTTTATAGGTGAGAAAACTGAGGCAGAGGAGTTGTGGCAATTGCCCGTGTAACATGTCCAGTAAATTGCAAAGCTGGGATTTGAGGATGGAGGCTCTGAGTCAATACTGCCTCTTTTTTAATTTTTCCTATTTGCTTTCATTTGACCCTTGAACTCTGGCTTATAATGTCTAACAATAGCTTCTGAAAACAGGGCAAGAATTGCCATAAATTAATATATCCACAAACCCTTATTCTCAATTCTGAAATCTGAAAGTTCTGAAATTGAAAGTGTGTGTATGTATTTGGTGCAAACTTATTTCCCAGCAAGAAAAACAGTCCTGAATTGATGTTATATAGTTTTATATACTGTTACGTATGTTACATTTGCACATTTATATGTATATACATATATTAACTATATACTATACATATATAAACTACATATTGCTAGTTTTATAACTATAGTTTTTATTTATTCTACTTGATGAATATTCATATTATACATTGAAGAAATATTAATGTGTTTAAGCATTCCTAGGAGGAATACCTTGAAAAGGGAATTCTATATTCTGCAGTATATGCACTGTATAACCTTCCTAAACCTGAAGAATTCTGAATTTGCCACATTTCGAGCCCTAGAATTTTGGATAAAGATTGAGGCTCTATGATAACTGTGACTACTTCACTTTGGGCTCTGTGCTGAGCACTTTGGAACTGTACTTTCATTATTCCTGGTCTCCTTGGACAACCACTCTGGGAGGGTCTGGTATTGGTTCCATTTTATAGATGAGAAATGGATGCAATGAGATTCTAGGGAATATGTCCCCCTCCACCTAGTTTGCAGGTAGTAGAGTTTGGGTGATAACTCAGTCTTGTCTATTTAAGAAGTCATAATCCTGGACTCCTCACTCACATGCATTCTTACCCAGACAGTCTCATATTTCAAGTTTCTCCTTGCTGTTTTGTACATTTCCACAATTAAAAAAGAAAAGAGAGAATTCATGTTTGGTGGATTAGAAAACTCTGTTCGTCCAACTTCTATTTTCTGATGCTCACAACAATGTTGAGCAATAAGATAGGGTGGTTCTGCCCCCATAGCAAAGGGGACACAGCAGCTCAAGATCACACAGCTGCTAAGTGTCAGAGCAAAGAATAGACTCCGTGTCTTGGGCTATTAAGCTCATCGAATTTAAGATGGTCAGGTGATTATCAATCTTCTAGTCCAATGTTCCCCAAACTTTAGTCATTTGTCTTCTGTAACAATAATTTACTTAATACATTAAAAAAACCAACTCCCTTTTTAACATAAATGCATTTATTTAGAAGGAAAACTATATCGCCACTATAAATGAGACGTCAGTATTCTCTTAATATATGTAGAAATAAAGGCATAAGCATTTAAATAAAAATTGTTCATCTGAGCACCACCTAAATCTGAGTTTAGCAAACCACTAGCTACAGGCTCAATCCAGTCTGCCACCTGTTTCTGAATGGTCCCCAGCTAAAAATGATTTTATATTTTTAAATAGTTATATATTAAATGGTTATATAAGTACCTACATAATATCGTTGACTTTGCCTTTTGGCCTGCAAATCCTAAAATATTTTCTACTGGCCTTTTAATTAAAAGTTTGCCTACCCCTGAACAGATCTGTCTTGTGTATCATGAGTGATATGAGTATCAAATATTGTAAAGTACTGAGTTAGTGCAATCTTTCCCCTCACCCCACTATTATATAGCTGAGGAGGTTAAGGCCTAGGGCATTTGTGTAACTTGCTCAAGGGCACACAGCCAATGGGTTGCAGAGTTACATTAAAGAGAGTTCTTAATTTTACTGACTCTCAGCCTATCTGCTTCCCTTTCTAGAAACACTCACAGTCACATCTGCCCACAGACACTCACCAGGCACAATCACATATTGGACCCCAGAACTGAGAGGGGCAGGGATTGTGTGATTTCAGAACCAAAGACCAATTCTTGGGGCTATTTGCGAATCTCCCATCATTATCACCATTAGACGCACGTGAGAACTGCACCCTTGACATGGGTAAGTAACTGAACTCAAATTCTCTCACGTGGACACCCTTTCAGGGCCATCACCAGAGAGTCACCGGTCCCATCTGGGAGTCTCCTTCTTGAGGCCCAGAGAGGGTTAACGTGCCCAGTGGATTATCAAGTTCATGGATCTCCCCCTGGGAGTGGTATCAGAAAGAGGTCAGGGCTGCCTGGGTTTGGACTCTGATTTTCCCACGAATCGGCTAGTTTTATATCCTGAGCAGGAGGTGGGAAAAAGAGGGTTGTGGGGGGCGGGGTTTTGAGGGAGAGAAGGGCCCCTGGAGCCCAAAGCCCCTTCTACTTTTTGGAGCTGACTTCAGAAAAGTTCCCCTGAGTGAGGGCTAAAGGTCAAAATGCCCACATCCCCCCTGGGCCAGAGGCACAGAAAACTGAGGAAGAGATGGCAGACCTCTACATGAACTCCATGGGTAGGTGTGGAGAAAGGAGAGGTGGATTCCACAGGGAAGAAAATAAAACAAAGTCCCCAGGTCTTCAGCATCAATTAGCAATGCTCCAGATACAAAATGTGACAGCAGGAGAGTTTCCTCATCTGCCTGACAAATAGCTCTCAAAAGTCAAATGGTAAATTGAATTTGATCATATCTTGTAAGGAATATTTTTGATCAGGAGGATAGTTAGCTCCTTTAAGGATTGTTTTCTCCCCTTTACACCCGCCCACTCACTTGCTCTGTGCTCTCTTTGGTGCTACACACAGCCTGATACCTAATTCTCTTGGGTAGTTCCTTCAATGGAAAATTATATCCATTAAGTGTTCTTAAACGCCTCTCTCAGGCATACAAAGTGCTATATTTCTTCTGTAATTACTTCTTGATTTTTGGAAAATGTTTTTATAAAATCAGCAGAAGCATTTATTTTTTCTTTTTGCTATTGCATTAGGAGGGGATATTATTAACTCTGGGCTCCCTACAAAAGACCTTGGCCACTTAGCTGGCATGCTCTAGGTGTGAGAATTCAGGGGTAACGGCTGCTTTGTATTCAGTAGTCCAGATTCTTAGGCCCTCTAAGGTCCTTGTAATAACTGAACAGTTTAGCTTTTAAGATTTCTTTAATGTAGGTGGAACAGGGTAGGTTGGAAGGAACAGCTGTTTGGGGCCCCATTTCTCAGCAAGCACATCATGGCCCAATGATATGTAGACCCAGGACTGAAGTTAGACAATGCATTCCAGTGGAGTGACATTGACCTTGGAGGGAAAAATGGGTTCTTGGGAGTCAGAAAAATCTTAGGCATTATTATGTTTCATGACCCTCCAAAGGGTCATGTATATAAATCATATAGTTTATATATCTCCACAGCATAAATGATATGGAGGATATTGAAGATATTAACATCTCATGGGGGGAAGGACAATTAAGGAAAAATGACCCAACAAGGCTCCTTAGTAGGGGCGATAATAAACAAAAGGTTCAGAAGCCCGAGGTGAGACCTAGAGTCAGCAGCAGGACAAGAAGGGAATATCTAGTGAGCACCCTTGGCCTGCTGTTCTGGCCACACGTTTTTGTTTTTCAAGGGGCTGCCTGGTTTGTTATTACTTTGTAAAGAGCCTTGGCTGGGAGCCACAAATTTGCTTCTTGCACCTTTCCAAGCCTCAATTCTTCATATGCTAAATGGATACACGTGTGCCTATATGTTGGTTACATTTGGATATTGTGGTCAAACAAGCTCACCAGACTGGGGTAAAATCCAATCACTATAAACAAGATTAAACTTTTAGTTCTGAAAAGGCCCCCTGATTTCCTCTCCTTCCTTCCCCCCTATGCTCACTACTTTCAGCAGTGGGCTCTGGGCATCTTTTGCCTGGGCTAAGGCCCCTTCACCCTCTGGACCCTTACTAGCTGCGCATCAACAGACCCACAGCTGCTGGAACTGGTTTCCCCTAGTTGTGGTTGCCACTGTAGCTTCTAGTAAGTCAGAAAGGATCACGCACCGTACATGGATTCTCTGCACAAGAAAGGCTGGCTGCAGGTACCTTTGGGAACAAGACAGGGATGGCATGGAAGCTGAGGTTCCCGACACCTCCAGTGGCTTCGGGACCCTTCTGAGAGCCGACTCACTCACCAGATGTGCACAGGGAGGGTCCACACAGTCAGAGAGACAGGCCTGTCAGTGTCTCACCCCCACATGAATTGGAGGCAGCAGTCACAGGTGTGGTGCCCATGGCCTGAGCAACAGGCACCTTGGCTCCGTCTTCCAGAGAGAGGGGAAGGAGGGAACCACCCAACCTTGGCCAGTTTGCCGGAGGAGGAAAATTCCTCCCTGACCCTGGCAGAGATCATCAACTTCAATCTAGGCATGGGACCAAATATCCACCCAATTAAACATCTACACATTGGTTGTTTATGTACCAAAACATCACCAGACAGAACAAGGCCATGAAGGTATAAATCAGAAAAAGGGGGCCAGGAAGGGTCTTCCCCGATACCACCATCTGGGCATTGGGAAGAGAAACGTTCTTTCTCCTTCAGAGCCTCAGTGACACCTGAATGTCTACTGGGTCCTGAACCCTGTGGGTGAGGCAGGGCCACTTGCCCACTCTTTGGACCTCCGTAGGAAGGGACACATGGAGGAAAACCTGGGGAACTCTTCCAACACTTGGTGTTAAAGGATGGTGGGTCTGGCGCATGAGTGTTTGTTCTTGTGGGAGAAACCAGAGCAGTTGCAAGAACTGGATTGCTGACATCTTGCCAAGTGATTCCTTATGTCTCCTTAGCTCGCTTGGGGAGTTTGCTAGGTC